CACACACACACACACATACATACATACACACACACACACACACACACTATATCTATATCATCTGTATCTATATCTATATCTATATATTTGTTTTTAATATATTTTTATGTTATAACTGATCATATACCAATTGTAGGATTGTTATTAGATGGTATTAAATTAATTAACAAGCTCAAATAAAGCTTTGAGGCATCAAATATGAATTTATTGTCCAAAAGCAAAATCTAATATAAAGTCAAATTTTCAGTACATTAAAAAGTGCCAGAGCTACACTAAAGTTAAAATCTAGAGACCAGCATGGTTGTTCTGAACTGAGAGCTTATAAGTCAGAGATTTGGGGATCATATCTTCACTACAATGGGCAATGATTTGAATATTCAGAAGGAATTTCTCCTTGGGAATAGGGTCCTTTGTGTACGTAATCCTTGACCTGCAAAGACCTTATTCTTTAATAGTGTGCAGTATCTTTGAGCTTGAATCTACAATGACCTATGTTCCCTAGGTTTGGTGGAGCTTTAGCCTCTCCTCTGTACTCAGTGAAGGGCCCTCTGCCTTGTGTTGGATTGAGCCTGGGTTTGGCTCTTCTGGGCTTCCAGCCTCCAGTGGTTTAGAATTGTGCAACAGGTTCAGTGGTTCAAAGAAGCCACGGCATACTGTGGGTGGCCACTTCAGTTGAGTTACATTGCGGGATATATCAAAGAAAATAAATGTAATAAACATGAAAGATGAAGAGGAAAAAGCCTTTGACATAATGTGTTCTGGTCTGTGTTGTATTTGTATTTATTATAAATAAATAAGAGTAATTGAAGCCTATTTATAATGAGTGCAATGTTCTTGTGAGTGTTCCTAGTCTATCAGATAATCATTTTAATCACTATCAGAGTGTCTAAATATTGCACCCCCAAATTGATGTGAAGTGTGCACTTTCCACACTGAGGAAAGTGTGTCTAAAACCAGCCCCTTTATGCTCAACTTTAGTCTAATTATGCAATCCATGTTCATTCTCAACCTTTGCAAGAGTATTTATTGTTCTACCATCTTATGAATGTTAACAGTAATATCACATGTGTAGGCCCATCATGTATACAGCCCTTTGAATACTTCTCAATGTTTTTCAGAGTACTCAGTTGGCCTTAGAACATCTGGAATCTGTTCCTGAGAAACTGAATCTTGAAGATTTCAGAGATTTTGGGGTAAGAATATAATGTGATCTCTTTCATTTGAAAAATATTTAACAGCATTCTACACAATAGGGGAAAGTATTATGCTTAAGGCATGATATCTAAAACACAATTATATTATAGCCCTATATTTGGGTGTTCACATATTAGCATGACCCTGAATAGATTTGTTCTGTAGCAAATTCCTTTCTTTACCATTCTTTTATCCTGATTAAAAAGATATTTCCCAAGTAGAGTCCTTCCATCCTGATTTGAATACCACGTTGTAATGCCTCATAACAATATGGTGTTTTTAAGGTTTAATAAATTTAAAATCTGAAAATATTTCTCGCTCTGCCACAGTTTTTAATCTATTCACAGTATTTCGGTAACCTTTTAAAAATTAGTATAATTTAGCTGTTTGAAAACTATTTGAAAAGTGGTAAATTTTGTTTGATTTATTAAGATGTAATGCCATTCAGTCCTCAAGCCATGCTTCCCACATGATGACACCTTGGATGCCTGTAGTCTCATAACTAGTATTACTTCTTCATCAGGCAACTGACAGCAAAATCAATAGGAAAGCAGTTGGAATGTCATGTTTGTTCATTAGGCTGAATAAAACTGGTATTGAGTGATGGGGATTAAATTCATGTCAGATGTTTAAAATGCAGACTGAATATGTATGAATGTACTTATTTGTTTATTTACTAAGGCTTATTCTAATCTAAAACAACTCTGAGTGGCTTATACTCTGCCTGATATATAATCTAGGTTGAAATACAATATGAATAAGAACACTCCCCCATGAAAAAAACCCATAATAACACCAGAGAAACCAGAGAGTAATCTGATCATGACAAGAGACTGATGTTAATGTTCCCCCCGTCAGATCATGACACATCTACCCTGAGACAAAAAAACAGACTCAGTTGTGGTCTTCCATGAGTTGGACTTGTGATATCCTGGGACAACTCCATGGTTGCAATGGTGATCATGAACTCACAAGGTGCATCCAATCACCTCCCTAGGGAAGGCATGATAAAGCCTCCTGGCATCATAAGCCTGGAAAAATCCAATGCTGATGCAGTGGTAAGGTCTAGAAGTTCAGACAGGTGTGCAGCTATGCAGCAGGGAGAGCAGTACAGTAGCAGTCCCAGCTTGTCTCTGGAGCCCAACCTCAGAAATAAGCCCTGATATCCAGTTATGTGTGAAACAATGTCCCTTGTGACCTGCAAAGCCTCCTGAATGGCAACTGCCATCCCTCCGCCCCCTCTCTAGGCATATACATCCATGAAATATGAATGGGCGCGTTTTTGAGAGGAAAGCACTCACCATCTCACCTATCTAGGTCTTGGTAATACAAACCAAGTCCACTCTATCATGATTAAGTCATGGATGAAAATTCATTACAGATATACCAGGTATTCAAAAGTAGTAGCTGGAGCCCAAGACTCCCAAAGGCCCAGCCACATGGCTCCTGAGACAAAGCCAGGAGGCTGGAAGTGAGGATTGGCCTCAGATCTCCAATGTCCATTTCCTTAGAGTTGTCTGCCCACCACCATATATTTGTTCTCTACCATCATAATCCTTCCCCTGCCCCTTTTACTTTTCAGCCCTGTTCCTTACCCATATTCCAAAGGACTCTCACTGTCTATCCTCAGACTCCACTAAAGCCTAGGTAAATCACTTACATTCTGGTTGTTTTTGACTTAGTCATCCAGCAGCCACCATACATCCCAAACACCCCACTGACACCCGCCCCCCCCAAACAACCACCAGTTAACCTATCAATCTTCCCACTCTTATCCAACGCCAACATGGCAGCTGCAGGTATTGGAATTCCTGCTGAACTCAATCCCAAGTACTCAGCCCTGCTTCTACTACCACTACTGTTCTGAATATCTGCAAATCCCATCATGCTGCCTCAGTGGACTCTCAGGCCATTCTCCTCTCTCCGAACCACCAGTTTCTCCTATCCCATTGCCATTTTATCCAAAAAAGAAAAGTGAAAAAAAAAGTGTTTTTACATTATTTCACTGGCACAGTCCAGAACATTTCCTCTTTAGTAAGTCATGGTGATTTAAGTTTGGGCTGATCTTCAGCAGCAAAATACAACTGACATTCAGACAAACTGGGGAGGAGAACTTTAGATAAAAACTTTTCATTCCTGCCAAGACCAGATTACCCATCCATAGCTAAACCATCAAGGAAAAACAAGAACTGCCAGTGTATCTTTGGACCTGTAATCTGTCTGCTGCAGAAATAGTCCCAAATCCATCCTAGTTTGTCAAGAAATCACCCGATCTCTGAAACTAACAACTGCCCCAATCTTTGCATTGTTCTTTGGCACTGTACAGCAGAGCAAACAATTTGGGGGGACTGAAGGCACATATGGAATTTTGGGAAGCCTGGCTGGATATGCTCAAAAGATGGTTGCTGGGTGGAATCTGGCAGTCACAAGACATCCATTTACCAGATTTACACTAACCTGATTGGATGCTTTCTGCCATTCCACTAAAACCTTTGTGAGCATCATAGCCATTACTGCAAATAAATATACCAGAGGTTGCAGCAACCCAGCTTTCTATGGTTGGTTAGTTAGTTAGTTAGTTAGTTAGTTAGTTAGTTAGTTATTTAAATACATAAAGCAGGGAGCCTAGCCAGCACCAAGAGAGGTTTCTGATGGAAATTGATACCAAGCCAGAGAGGCCTTTTCAAGTAGTTCTTGCTAAATCTACAAATCTTTTATTAAAACACATTTCTTTAGAAATACATTCCATATAGTATCTGTTGGTATTAAGCATTTGAATATGCTATTTAAAGTTGATGATTTAGTACTCCCTTTCCCAAATCTAGCATAATCTAGCATAAGATCATCAAACATTATGAGATTTTGATGAGAAATCACAAAATGTCAATATTCTCACATGAAATCTCTTAAGATTGCATATTAAATGGCCAAATCTTATAACCTTATTTATTTAAGTGGGATGGGGCACTTTTGAGGCCCAATGGGGCCCAGGATAGACATATCTTATTCTTCTTTATCTCATAAGGATCCTTTGGTCCTTTTTTACATTTATGTGATAAATATTTCACTCATCTGAAAAGTTTCTGATTTCAGAATTCTCACAGTCAGAAAGAAATTATCGAAAAAAGATACAATAAATACAAGGAGCTTGTGGGCTCATTACAGCAGCATCTGGAAGATTTAAAACACAGACTTGAAAACTTCCAAGTAAGTTTATCTTCTCTTCAAACCCTTCTTTGTATGTAGTTATTCAAGAAATTAGCTCTAATTGCTAGGACTCTGGATAGTGCATAATCATAGAAGCAATGTGCCAATTTTAATAATTGGCTAGAAGGAGTCAGTTTGCCTTGCAAGGTCAGGCCAAAGATTTCCAAAGGTCAATGTTCTGTCTCCAACGGCAACTTAACTTAATAAGTTAATAGATGGGGCATAGTGGAACTATTTCCATTAGTCACTGGAAGTATAGAAGGACACCAGAAGGCCAGAGCAAAGACTTCCAAAAGTCAGGGCCCAACAGAAATTTGGCAAATTCACAGCCACATTCGTAGTCATTCTCTGTATGCTTGCCCCTAATGTGCGGTATTCTGAGCTTTCACCCTTTGTATTGGAAGGTTCCTTTTTTTTCTTTTCTTTCTCTCTCATAGTCAATATAGACTGATGGAAAATAGGAGCTATGGCGTTGTCAGTTCCTAAAAGGGGAAAGTACTGTTTCATGCAGCACTAAGATACGTAGAGGAGAGTCTACTGTCAATCAGCTTCATGGAAAAAACATGGAAAAGACAGAATAATTTCTCTATTTGTTATGCTTTGTTGGAAAAGTCTTATTTTCTTTTCAACTAAAATGTCCTGCTATGTTGGAGGTATTCAGCAGGGAGAGGGGGGTTCTATCTCACTTGAATACCGAATCAACGAAGAAAGCTCAGAAAGACTGGCTCCATTCTAGGTCAGGGTCAGGGCTTGCCCATCGTTAGGGACGACACCATTACCTCGTTCAGACACACACGCAATATACTTTTTTCCATGTTTGTCAAATCCTTCTCTGCTAGTGGAAAAAAGTCAAAAGCCTATTATCTATTTTTAGGATAATGCACTGGGAGCTTTTAAATTATGAAAGGTGGAAGATCAGATTACGCTGTTAGCATGGAGACTGTATTAATAGAGTGTCAAGCATTTAGCTCTTAAACGCTTTTGTTTTCTTTAGTCTGAAATAAATCTATTGGACCCATTTATTTATTTATTTGCAAATGCTTATTTCATGCTGCAACAAAGGAGATAATTCACGGGATGCCACTTTGCAAGTTTAAGGACTTTGCGTGGGAACAACAGAGAGGCCAATTCCTGTTTATGTGCATTTTATAGCAAGAAGGGGCAGAACTCCCAGCAGCAAACACAGAAGATGACCTTTTCCAGAATTCTAAGTGTTGTTGACAAAGACACACAATCTGGAAGGAAATTATATGTAATGGTAACTATTAGATTTATGTTCTGAACACTGAAACACTTTTATCAGTTTAAAATAGTTCTGTCATATTGGTATAACCTGGCTTGTGGCCATTTTTAATCACAAAAGATAAAATGAAATATATCAACATCAACCTTTTCAATGTGAAAAAAATTCATTCTCTCTCACAGGATAAGAAAACCAAAGCTGATTTTTCTGCTGTCCACAGTGTACCTTCCAACCAGCAAACTAGCAGCAGCTTTATGACCAGCTCCTTGCTTTCTACCTCTGAATGTAAGAATTGATCTTTCATTGAGAATCCTTATAAAACCTTTCAGTGGAATGACAGCAATTTGTTTTGGGAAAACAGGACCTTTCTCTTTATTCCTTACTTTATTTGGTCAGTACCGCAACTAGAAAATAATTCAAGTTCCACAAATGCATAGAGGTTTTCAATAATTAAAATACATAGACATGTCTCAATCCTAATTAAAAGGAAGGAGTCTTCGAACTATCTGGTGTCCTTTTTTGGTTCATGTGTTTAACACAAATCATATTTTTTCTTGGATGCATTGTCTAAAACATTCCTCTAGAAAATGAACATACATTTTATCATTTTACATCCAGGGGCTACCATCTTGGTTTATTTTCATTTCAGCAGAATAAATAGTTCACTTATATAAGAGAATTTAAAACAGTAGGAGTCTTACCAAATGTCATTATCAAAGTTCCCCAAAGGCCATCAGTATAAAAAATCTTGATTTCAAATTCTGGGGGAAAAAAAGATAAATATCTTGATGAAAAGCTTGTGCAAAATGTGGTTTGCTCTTGGTAAATAGAAGTACTGAATATAAGACTTTTGTTTTAGGTAGGTTCATAATAATATAGACAATATTGCAAAATTATACCTTATTTTTAATCATGAGATCTTATTTTCTGTGGCAGTCCATCTCAGATATCATGTTTGTGCAGAGAAAGGATTCAAGAAGAATTCATGCAGTGGTTCTTTTAAAAATAATTCTCCTTGATCTTTGCCACTAGTTCCTACCATGCCATGCAATTAATTAAACCCATATTTCTTTATCAAGGGTATTGTTTAGGATAAAAATCTAGCTGCTGATGGCTATTTTTAAATGAAAAAACCATCAAATTGTTATTAAGTTATAGGCACCACCTCAAAATTGTTTCAGGAAGCAACATGGTGTTATTTCTGAAAGTGAGGTGAAATGATCATCAGACTTCTGAGAGGAGACTTCTTCAAATTTTGTAGGAGAAGGTTGGGCATTTGCTGAAGTGCTTTCAGACTGGGTAGCTGTGGCATGGTGTGTCTGAGACAGGCTGGCTGGGCAGCTACAGTGCATGCTGCAGGCAGTCTCATAGGGCATGCACTAAAGCTGCCTGGCCTGGATCCTCAGTCTGACCACTTGGCAAAAGTTGGGTGAGCAGTATAGAAGGGGTACTACTCACCTCCTTTCATCTCTTCCCAATTTTGGCAAGTGGTTGGGAGAAAGTTTCTGAGTGGTACATTCTTGATGTTCTCCAAAAAATCTTTGAATAATGAGTGATTCCTTTGCATAATGCAGGCATTTCTACAGCACACTCTGAAGCTATCCAACTTAGAGTCCCCTTGGCACATGCCAAAGGTATTCCAGGCTTGATGGTTCCAGGGTGGGTTGCAAATAATCCAAAACTGCCCCGACTTGAATCTTTGGCAAATGCTAGAGGAAAAGTCTGAGATGAGCTTTGTCCTGCTGCACAGTTCCAAATGATTCAAGGTCACATAGGTTCCTTTGCTGAGGCAAATCAGGTAACATTTTGCTATGGCAAAGCAAATCAGGTCACCTCCAAAGTCTGACTCTGTTAATCAGTACAAATCTAGACCATTTCATACAACGCCAGTTACACAGTGACTGAATTGTTTAACAAGAGTGGCTTCCCACCATCCTATGGTAGCAGCATCCCACCCTTCAGGATCACCAATCATCTTTTCTCCCAAAAATTTTTGGACAGAGAAACTGGATAGGTGAATGCTTCATTTTTTTCTGGAGAAAGAGAAAAACAACAGTTTCTTAAGGATAAGCAACCCATTTCAGTAGTGATTGTAGCACTGCTACTGAGAAACCTCCATGGGAGGAATTTTCTCATGAGGTTTATCCTTGGGATTTAATGGAAACATAAGAAGTCAAAGAGGCTATAAAAAACAAACTTTCTCACATATCCTTTGGCTACCTATGTTATAAGAATATAGGGAATACATTACTTATACATGATTGTATTTGTTTTCATATAAAAGGGGAGAAAATGCTACTATAGAGATAATGAACCAAACAGGACTGTGCAGTTTGCATGCACATTATTTTATTTCTGTTTATTAAGTCCCATCCCCCAATTCCAAATAATAAATGAGATTATTACAGCAATCAGCTCCTGTTATTAATTAGTGTTTCAGCAATAAAATCTGTAGTAATTCTTCGAGTGAGAAATCATGCTCAAGGGATACAACTCCCTCTAATTAACTCAAAATTAAATGGCCAAGTTTCCTGATTTTCTGGTCCAAAGCTCAGGGTTAAACTTCTCTCCTCCATGCCCAGCAGTGAAGCCATAGTTCATTAATAGCCATAGTTCAGCAACTAACCACATGCTTTACATGAAGGCCCAGATGCAATCCCCAGATTCTCAAAGAAACCCCAGAGAGCTGCTGCCAGTCAGTGTAGATTACACCTGAATTAGATGGCATAAGGTAGTTTCCTACATTTCAATGAATTATTTGGCCATCACACAGTTCTCACTAGAACAGATAAAATAGGACTGTATAACTCCTTGGCAATCCAAGTAGTTAACAACATCTATCCCTTTTCTGCTGTACCATACAGAATTTTCTATGTTTGAAAACAGGTCTCTAAAGGCTGGATATATCATGGTTTACCATTCAGCTTTTACAGCACTCATAAAACCTGTTAAAAAGAATGTAAAAGTGCTGATTGATTGCCAATAGCACTTTCTTCTCCCTTGCAGCACCCTGGTATTTTATGAACCACTTTTATTTGTTTTTCATTTCAGCTTAGTAGTACACTTAAAAGAGCAACAGCAGAAAGGTTACTTATTCCATAGCAAGACCTCTATGCATGGGCTACATTGTACCATTAATGCTAGACTGGGGCTAATGCAAGGGATGAAACCTATTCTGAATGACCCACTGAGAATAAATCTTCAAATGGAACATGCCGCTTATTTGATGCGGGCTCTCTATTTTAGTGTAGGATTTTTTTCAACATGACTCATTCTGCACAATTTTTCCTTGTAGCATGACAAATGCATACAAGAATCTAATGTCAGATATATTTCTTGGCATATGTAATGGCTTCTTTTCAACAGAAAGTGACATCTACTTGAATTATTAATGCTGAATATGACTTCACATCTTTTTCTTAACATCTGGAAACATTTATAAAATTCTGTATCTTGCTTATACTGTTATTGTTTAATGCCAAACTATTGCTAACATTACAATAATGAGGGTCAAAGACTATTAGGCTCTTGCCCTCACTACCTATGATCAGAGACTTTCAGTCCTGTGTTAGCCACTACTCAAGCCCCTCATATTATGGAACATGTTATCCTTGGAGGATGTCTTCCATTGTTGTATTTAGGACAACTTCTTTTTCAGTTATCTTAAACTCCAGCTGACTGGGGCATGGGAGTCTTCCATACATGTATTTGTTTAATTAATTATTATTTTATTATTTGTTCATCTTTATTTCTGTACCACTCAGAACCTTAAGATTGGGGTGCTTGACAAATATAGTAAATAAAATATATAAATACTTGAACAACTAAACTATTAATTTGGTGGGAGGGGAAGTGTCTGTGTGTAAACCAAGACTGAAGACAGTCTAGCTTTGATTGTTTGGAAGACTTGTTGGCTCTTTTTTTTTTTTTTTTGGAACACAGCTGTATCTTGAATATTAATGTTTAACACTCTCATTTGATTTAATATAAATTTCAAAGGGTAAATCCTAATTGTTATTATAGAATGTCCAAAGAAACCTGGAGAGTCGTAATGTATAATCATTCTGGTTTCTGATTGTGGCTTATAAGCAAATATAAACAGTTGTTTGGATGTTCCAGATCACACATTCACTAAATCATGGCTTAGCTGTGGTTTATTGAATAAGCAACCCACACTTGACTAGGTATTTTGACACAAACTGTGATATAACATTGTATGTAAGTAAGGTAATCAAGGCAAACTGATTTGCTGCAAACTATAGTCAAAATATTGAAATGGATGCACAAGGGAAGGACTTTCAAAATGACACTTGTTCAAGCTTCTTTCTCTTGATTTAATATTGCTTGTGATCAGAAATGGAGTTTGTGATAAGTTTATCTCCTAACTTCCTAAAAGATAATATATATCACTTTTCTCATCTTTGCCTGTAATGCGCATCCATGCTGTGTAAGGACTCCCACTCTTTTGATAAGGTCTTCTGTTAAGAGCACCTTGTTCTCAAAGTGCAGAATGTAGAAAGAGAGAGAGATTTAACCTGGAGAGTCTTTGCTCAGATTCATAGTTCTGCTCAATGTGAAGTTACTACTGGCAGCAAAATGGAAACTAAACAGATCCCCTGGTCTACAGTATTGCATCTTTGCTTCTTGTATATCTTTGTATGCCAGAATTTAATCTTTATAGTCACTACAGGGTATTTTTTATATTCATACCCATCTATTTAAAACATTATTATGGGAGGTAATCTAACTAAATCATTTTGTAGAAAGGAAGAGGTTTATCTGACAGCATAATTTAGACAACAAGGTGCTCATTAGAGACAGACTTTACAGAGGCAGATTTATTTTCAGCTGCCACTTAACAAAGTCTGCAAAAAGAAAAAAGAGTGAGCCGCTAGCTGTTATCTAGGCATTAATCCTAAAGAACTATTTATAATGACCACTGTACTTTCCTCTAGTTTTAGATTACAAAACGATTAGCATCTGCAGATGCTTTGCAGCAATGTTGTAAATGTATCCCTTTCCTGTTTGTATAGTTTTTATCTCTTCAATGTATTGACAAATCTTTTCCCAGAAGCCATTTTATTCCCAGGCTTATTCTACTGTGTGTACATGTAGTTATAATCCAAGACCTTCACAATCTTTGTAAAGCAAAGCAGAAGCACCTGGGCTTTTATTGATCTCATCATTCAAGTCACACTGCTTATTCATGGCACATGCTACTGCTAATAGAAGCATTAATGATAGAAAATGTTCAGAGCACTTTGCATACATTATCTCAGTAATCA